AAATTGTATGTGTGGCTAGTTGTACTCTCACAATATATATCACTTCCAAAATTTATGAAATTAATAAAGTTAGCTGATAGTATTTGTATAAAGTAAAAAAAAAAAAATTAGATATTCATAGAAATCAGGAAATATAATAATATATCTGATGACTTTTAGAGAAATATGAATACAAATAAAAAAACCTTAGTTATAAATAGTATTATCTTAATATTTAAATTATACTAAATTTTCCTTTTCTATACTGACATTATAATAAATAATAATAATAAAAAAAATTTATATAATATTATATCACACTTCTAAGTTCTAATTGATTTAGTATAACTTAATTTACAGGAGTATGCTCTTAGAAACAGATAATATTTTCTGTAATATATCACAAAGTCTAAGAAATTATTTAAATTTATTGATAGTAAAATTTGAACTCAGACCTATTTTATAGTAGTCTAACAACCTAACTACTATACTAGATTATCAAATCTTTTATTTTAATATTTTTTTTTTTTTTGTTATTAAGGCTACTTCCTTGGCCAATTAGATTTTATTAGTTTGTTATTACAGAACAATCATATAAATAGTTTCTAAGGTTTTACAGTTATATAATGAGTATATAACAAGCCACATGTATAACTTTAGTTATTATCTAATTTAAGTAGTCTGCTATACAGATGATCAATTATCTGTTAGTTCTATACTATGCTGCCATACCTGCAACCTGCCTGTGAGTTATCTAATTAAATACTCTAATTATTAACTTTTTCATCTCATTCCAAACTAATATCACTACTATATTTGACTTCTTATACTAGTTGACTAATATGCAGATCTATTTATCGCATGGCTTAGGTCTTCTTTAAGATATATATTGTCTAACATATTGTGAGCTATAGAGCTCTAGCTAATCTCAGAAGTAATTTCTACCAAAGTGGTTATGTACTCATTTCACAGATTTATCTAGTTTAGACCTTTGTCAATATTCATATGAACTCAGTTCCTGCTATGGCCATCTACTAGATATAGTCATCCAAGTTCTAGCTAGATATTTTATAAGATAGATCTTTCTAATCTAGTTAGCCACTAAGCCAAGTTAGTGTTGCTACTAATGCAAGATACCAGGCTGCATTATACAGCAGACTTACTTATACCTATTGATCTCACATCCTTCATACTTAGATTTTTTACTAGATCAGATGTTAATCAGCTTGGCTGTTGAAATCTGTACTACTTTATTAAACTCAGGATTTCTACCATGCAGGTTTCCTACTCATAGATCCTATCAAGATTTATTCATATAACATAACTTGAACATTATATCATATTTCTAATATCTGATTGATATTAGTATAACATGATTTACAGGGTTGTAACTTTCAGAAATAAGCAGAGTTTACTGTAAGTTAAGTACAAAGGTCTAGCTAATTATTCAAATTCATCAATAGTAGGATTTGAACTCCAGACCTCTTGCATAGTAGTCTAGCAACCTAACTACTATACTAAGATCATCAGACCTTTTATTTCAATATTTTTAATTTATTTTAAATATATAATTGTATAGAAAACTTATAATCTTGTTATATAATAAAGTATATCTCATACTATAATTGTTTTTTCAATTTTTAAATAAAGTTCTTTTTTTTGGTTTGAGTATTAGTTTTTTTCAAATTTCTTTTTTCATCAAGAAGAGTTTTTTGTTCATATATTATTTTTTTTTTTTATCTTTTTTAAGATTTGATTTGTTTTTTGTTATTTAGTTAGTTATTACTTCTATTTATATTATTTGTTAAATACTTGTCTTCTTCAGTTTAATTATATAAAGTAGCTCTTTTCTTTTATATTTTATTAAACTTATATCTTGTTTGGATTTCTTTTGTTTCTTTTTCTTTTTTTTTTGTTTTATACAATTTTCTTTTCTTTTAGATTTTCTTTTTCAATATTCTTTTCTAGTATTAAATTTAGCTAGTCAAATTTATCTTCTTTTTTTCTAGTTTTGTCTTAACCTCTTTGTAACCTTTTTTGTAATCAAAATAAATAATATACTACTAGTTTCTATTTGCAAATTTCTCTTAAATTGCTTTGATATACTTGTTTCTTCTTAATAACTATCTTTTTTTTTTTTTTACTTTATACAATATTCTATCAGTAAGATTTTTATTAGTATAATAGTTTTAAACAATGATTACATATATAAGAGTATAACTAGCTACATATATAACTTTAGATTGTCTAATTTAAGTAGTCTGCCTGAAGATTCTATACTAGCTACTATACCTGAAATTTATTTAAAAATTCTCTATTTAAACTCTCTAACTATATGTCATTCCTATTCTGCTATTATTTGTTATCTAATATTCATCTAATCCCATACTATTTTGCTTTTTAGAAGACATCAACAGAGCTAACATATATTCACAAACTTTAAGATTTGAAGTCTAGGCCCATCTCAGGTACCTCTTCATCAACTTCTTAATCACTAGATATTGTAGTACCCAAATATGCTACACTATATCCTAATCTAGCTTGTATATACTCTTATTCGATGTTCATATAAACTCAGTTTCTACTGTAGCTTTTCACTGAGTTAGTCATCTGTGCCTCCAAATATCACACGAAATAGGCCCACCCAAATCTGGTTACCATTAAGATTGATGTTGTCAAAAGTCATCTGTACCTCCAGATATTATATAGAACAGATCTTTCTAAATCTAGTTAGCTACCAAGCCAAGTTGATATTGCTATATGACCTCATGTAATAGACTTATATGCATCTATTCTGCTGATCTTTTTATATGCATGTTTTTTAATAAATTTACTCATATCCTAGTCACCAATCTTTTCATAGCAGATTTTCTTTTCTAGATTAAACATTAGCTAGTATAACTGTTGAAATCTGTATTACTTTATCTAACTTGAGATTTCTACTATGCAGATCTTCTATTCATAGATTCTATCAAGATTTATTCATATAATATTATACTTTCTCAAATATCCTATCATACTTCTAATACCCTGATTAGCATTGATACAATATGATTTATAGGGTTACAACTCTAGAAATGAGTAAAGTTTATTATAAGTTAAATACAGATGTCTAGATAATTATTCAATTCTGTCTACAGTAAAATTTGAACTCTAGACCTCTTACATAGCAGTCTAGTAATCTAAGAGGAGTGCAGTTAATCACGTAATATTTTTTTATTATAGAGCCTTACCCCCCCCTCCTATGTGATAGTATAAATTTCTCAAAATATTAGACCTCTATATACTATACATGGGTTACAATGAGATAAATTTAGTAAAATGTAAAAAGACCCGGGGTATGCAAATAAAAAACAAAAAAAAACTATTATTAAACCTATGCTATATAAAAGACCCAGCAGGTCTATTATAAATTTTTAAATTTGGTAAAATGTACTAGACCCGGGTCTTGTATCCAGAAGTTTGCAATAATAAGAATTATCAGACCCATGCTATACAAGAGACCTGGTCTATTATAAGTCTAAAATTGGTGAAATGTACTAGATTCGGGTCTTGTTATTTCTAAAACAAATTGTACTCTGCATCTGTCTGTTGGATACTTGATGCATATGCCATATTGGATTGATATCGATATCCATTATTTCTATTAACTCATCACATCTTTCGTGATATTTATCACTATTCATGTTTAATAAAATAAAAATCCGCACTTTAAATGAATATTATCATTATATGACTAAAAGTGAATTTTAATTATAATTCCTTTTATAAAATTATCAATTACATTGTTCAATATCGATAAATGCTACATATCAAAAATAATACAAGTCCATAAAATTTAGAATTGCGCAAATCATAATTTAAATATTAGCACTAACATAAAACAAAAACGGGTACATATTACTTCGTAGAAGTTTATTTCACAGACAATCAATCCATAGACAAGTTTATTTTAAAGAAAATTAATTTACAGACAGTTCATTTCATAGACATTTCATTTTGTAGACAATCTTTACAATAATTCGGAAATTATTTGCTGTTAAAGATTGTCTACAAAATGAAATGTCTATAGAATGAACTGTCTGTAAATTAATTGTCTTTAAAATAAACTTGTCTATGAATTGATTTTCTGTGAAACAAGGCGTTTGTGAGATAAACTTCTACGAAGTGATACCCAACAAAATGCCATATAAACGATAATGGGTTTTGATAAACCCGATTTACCATGAACCGTTTAATAAAATGCGAATGACACCAAGTGAAAACTTGATCTATTTTACAAGTGCGAGTATAGATTGATAAAAATAAATCTACATAACGCCAAGAAAAACTTAAAATCTATATACACTCAACAAGTTATTGTTATGACTAGATGTTAAAAGATAACGCCGGAAATTGAACTCCATAAAAATTTACCAAATAATATCATTGTAACTTACTTGCATCGCCAAATATCCTTTTTTACAATAACTATAATCTTGAATCATGAATGTAAATTAAGCAATTTCCATATATATCTATAAATTAAAAAACAAGAATATACCTAATATATTAAAGTTTATGTTCTTCCGATTCTCATTATACACGTACAGTACATGTGGGAGAAAATTCAATTTTTTTTTTTTTTTTTGCTTGAATCTTAATTCCAGGATTCGTAAATAGGACCAAAAATAGTCATATTAACTGATTAAAGAGTCTTCAATCCGGTCGTAGCTATCAAGCGCTCAAAATACTAATTATCAAATTATACCAATATTTGTCATACTTACTTAGCATTGGACCAACAGAATTATCTCGTTTATCAGTTATAGATATGTGCCAAATTCAAAAAGAAATTTTAAGATTATCTTATTTCTTTTAGGATTTGGCACATATTTATATTCACATAGTCACCAAGTTAGGCCATTCAGTAAGCAAAGATATTTAAATAGAAAGCACCAAACCGATTTGTAACTAATTTCTTATTTATTTCTCCTATAGTATAGTATATAACAGAAAATTCACATTAGTAACAATTCGAAATGACACAAAGCTTTCATTCAATGCCAAATTTTTCAAAAACTTACTTATATGTTATCCCTAAAAATTTATACCAAGAATTTTGTAACGCTTTTGCGTTTTTTATAATGGTTAAGGCCTGTAATCCAAGTATGAATTGGCAAGATTTAATGGATACAGCAAATACAGAATGGCGACTATGTCGAACTGAATCAGAAACAACTATTAGAGACCAAATCAAACAATATCTTGCAGCAAGTCCGCCTATTATACGAACGGCAAACTTTTTTCTACCACCTGGTTCATATAGTTCTAAATCATCAAATTCTTTAAATACAAACTCAAATTCTGCAATTTCTTCATTGCCTTCAGCTAATGAAGAACATATTCTTGCTCCTAATGCGTCGTCTCAACGTCAAGCTTTAACCCTAATTAAAGAAACTGGAACTAAAGTAAATGAATACGAAAATCTATTGCTAAATACTAATGACATAGATCTTAGGCGTCAGATATATGAGAAGTTAAAGGATAATCGTGCTATTATTGAAAAGGAAAAAACGTCTCAGTTTATTAAAAAGCCATGCTAAGTCTCAAGCAAAACTTAGAGAAAAAAAAAGAAAACAACTTAACGAAGGTATTGCAGTAATATATGATACTAGTGGACGCCCATCCGAATTTCAAAAAAATCCCAAATTGCTTGATCAAATACATGATTGTGTTGAATTTGGTGTAGCGGAAAAAAAAAGAAGAAAGACTGTGATTAAAGTTCGCACAATCAGACACTTAAAGGAAGCATTACAAGAAAAGTATAATGTTTACCTTACACGACAAACTCTTTCAACATATCTTTTACCCCGACATCCCAATTCACGTCAAGCAAAGCACCACCATTATCCTGCACAAATTAAAGTAAGTGCTGTTTCTCGTTCTGAAATGAAGTTTCATGTGGATGAACACTACTGTCTCGCGTCGGTTAAAATGGTTAGAGAGTTTGCTGTAACTTTTGCTAACTATAGCCTTATCATCTTGCAAGATGATAAGGCTAAAGTTGGCTTAGGTGTGCCAGCAGTCGGTAGAACTTTTAAAAGCATCTAATCACTTAGTGAACCTATTACTGTCTCTGATCATGATTTTCCATGTGATGCTAAACAAAAACTTATACCTTCAGTTTATCTTATTATCAACCCTGAAAACACAAATGAAACATTACGTCAAGGTCAATTATCCATTTATGTTCGACCAGAGTATTTTGTAGGAACTTCATCTTTATCTCATATGAGAGATTTAATTGAGATTTCAAAATGTGATGATTTTGCGCCGATGTTGAAATATAGTGACCATCTTAAGTCTATTTGGTTCTTGTTAGTTGATGGGGGGCCAGACGAAAACCCAAAACATTTGAAAAATATTGTTGAATATTGTCGTCTTTTTCGTGAGCTTGATCTTGATTATCTTTCTGTTAGAACGCATGCTCCTTATCAGTCAGCTTACAATCTAGTAGAACGCAGTATGTGTACACTTTCTAAAAAGCTAGCTGGAATTGAGCTTCCAATTAATAAGTTTGGTTAGTGTTAATAATACAGTTAGTTCTCTTTATAATGAACAGACGGTTCTTCTGGTAAAAAGCTTTGAATTCCTTAGAGTAATTTATAATGTTGCTCTATAATAAATTTTAAAAAAAGTTTGTTATCGAGTGGTTTCATTATAAAAAAGTTCATAATAAAGAGAGTTGACATATATAAGTTTAATATAATAATGTATAACCTTTTTTTTTCTTCCTCTTATGCTTTAATTCTAGGATCTCATCTTAACAGCCAAGGTGTAGTTGTAGATGAAGACTTGGCAAAGTGCAACTTTGAATTTTCTGGTCAAAGTTTGTGTGAAATTTGGAAGCGTGATAATATTCATGGAAGACAAGTGCATGCCAATTACATTGATTATGATGAAGATCCTTTTCATAATAAAGGAAAAGAGCCTACCACGTGGTTGTGGATAGAACGTCATGCTCAGCTATGCCGCTACTCTCTGGATGTGCGAAAATGCCCTGATCGAAATTGCTGTAGTGATGTTTATGCCAAAGAAGCAATTGATCTATTGAAGGAAAATGGTGGGTTTCTCCCACCATTAACAAAAGGAAAAGATAACTGCTTTTTAAATCCAATCCACGTTTTGCAATATATAGACAAGACAAAATTGTCTAAATATGATGAAGAGTGTCCTTCACTATCATCACAAGCACATCAAAGACTTTGCTGCAATATATGCAGTAAATATTTTCCTACCGCGAAGATGATTACAAAACACAAACAAGTAATTCATGCAAAAAAACCACTCCAAAAAAATGAAAATCAAACCTCTATATCTGATCTTGAACTTCCTATTGTGCTAATTGAACATGTTGAACTGCCTTACTTATCTACAGAAGAGGTTATCGAATCTTTAGAATATCTTGACAATGACAACCATCAAATTCAATTAAGTAATTCAACTTTTATGGAAGATTTTTCCAACCTACCCTCTATTCGTTCGTCATGCCAGTCATCTGAAGTTTTTGATTTACGAGAGGTGCTTTCCGACGTTGAATAAAAAACTATTACTCATTAGAGTAAGAAACAGGATAGTACTTTTTTTTTTGTTTTATTTTTATTAGTATTCATTGATTTTCAAATTATTATGTATTATTGTATTATCGAAGCAGTCAACTCTTTTATAACGAACTAATGATCTAGAAAAAAAAAAATAAGCTTATATAAAAATTACTACTTTTTCTTAAAAACTATAGCTCTTTTATGTTGAACTCAAGAAATTTAAGAACTTGAGTTCGTTATATCGATATTATATTCAGAGTTGACTGCATAATCAATTAAAAAAATTAAGCTTAGGCTTTAAGACGAATGCTATCAATTCACTTTAAAAATAAAAGTTAAAAGCCGTAATACTTTTTGCTTCAAAGATCTATTAAATTTATAATGACTTTTTTTCTTTAATAAAGAAAATTTACTGTAATAGTAATAGGTCAAAGAAAGATCTTGGCACAGTATACTCCTCTAGTATGTACACGTACGTACTGTAATATAGTAGTAATAGGTTACGTACTATGTACGTACGTACGTACGAACGTACATATCTGATATAAAAATCTGTATATCTAATATATATTATATATATATATATATATAACGTGATATATTGCTAACCTCCCCTCCCCCCCTAAAAAAATTACGTGATTTTCTGCACTTCCCTAACTACTACACTAAGATCACTAGACTTAATAACTATTTAAATAATTTTTCTCTTTATTCTATATTATCTTCTAAGATTTTAACTACTACTATCTTTGCCTTAAACTCTTCTTTACTTTTGTATTAATCTAATCAAATATCTATAAACTACAATCTAATAATATAAGGTCTGGTAATTTTAGTGTAGTGATTAGGTTGTTAGACTGCTATGCAAGAGGTCTGAGGTTCAAATCCTACTGTTGACGAATTTGAATAATTACTCGGATTTTTGTATCTAACTTACGATAAACTCTGTCCGTTTCTGGGGTTGTAACCCTGTAAATCATATTACACTAATATCTTCCAAATATTAGAAGTGTGATGAGGCATTTGGTGAGACATAATGTTACATGAATAAATCTTAATTGGATCTACGAGCAGGAGATCTGCATGGTAAAATCCTGAGTTGGTGAAGTAGTATGGTCTTCGACAGTCATACTAGCTAACA